GTAGCAAATCCATACATACAAAGATTGGGAGATTGTTGTGCACTTTGATTTATTTTATTGAGTAATTATCTGATAGCTACAATGGTGAATTGGATGTTAAAAAATAAAATAAAATAAAATAAAATAAAATAAAATAAAATAAAATAAAATAAAATAAAATAAAATAAAATAAAATAAAATAAAATAAAATAAAATAAAATAAAATAAAATAAAATAAAATAGAAAAAGAAAATAAAAAGTAAGAAAAAGGAAAACCAACCCCTTTAAAAAAAAATCCACATTGTATTTCCCCATATTTTGGGAAACAGGCTGAAGAAAACATTCTACACTGTAGAAGACACATGTAGCTGCTGATACCCATGTTTTAACATTGGAACTGCACGTCTGAAGCACTTAGCTCTAAAGCCTCAACCAAAAGAGGCTTAATAATCATAGCATGGATAAATCACCACTGTGAAGATGTTAACACATTAAGGATTCTGGGATACCAATCTGGTATAATCAGCAATCGACTGGGCTCTTGTGAAAGATGTGGCATTTCTTCTTAAGGTCAGCTTTCAGAGAACTTTGAAAAACAATGTTCTAGACTGATTACTTACAGTACTCCTTTGCTTGCAGAAAAGCAGGAGACTAGTTCCATAAAAACTGAATACATTATCATTTTTCTGACTGGATTTGATTAGTTGCATAACTTTAGCAAGATTATCACAGTGTGATCTAGTTAAGCTTCTAGGATTATATGAACACCAGCACCAAATTAATCTTGGAATCAGACAACTGAGATACTTGTAAACTCTCATATGTCTCTGACCACTTATGAAGTCTCTTCCAGTCCCACTGCTTCAGTAAGCATTTGACAGTTAGTGCAGCATTTTATTGACAAAGCAACACAATCTGGACAGATTCCTGGCTTCTCTCTCCTTGCAAGAATAGCATGTCACCCCGTTGAACCCCCAAGGATGCAAAACTGGGATTATTTTACATAAAGTCTGCCTTTGTAGCATCTGAAATAAAAACCTTTCCCCGAGAACTGCCACTGTTTTGATAGTGAATTCCATGCTGAGTTGTACAACTGGTTACTCAGTTCTTTGGCTGATTTTAAGAATTGCATTCAAAAGTTACTCTGTGTTAGAGGCATTTAGAAAATATATTTATACCTGGTATTGATACTCTTTCAAGTACTGTTTTAGTCTTGTTGGTAATGGCAGCTCGCAGATCTGATTTGTGCTCTTGTTTATAGCTATTCTGCAGCGGTGTTGCAGAGATGGAGCAGATGTATAGAGGGGTTTGTTCAAGTAAAGATGAACTGTTCCATTTGAAGGTGTTTCAGTTCTATCCTTGCACATAAGAACATAGTACTCAATCAAATGCACAACGCTGTTGAACTGTTTAAGTCTAGATCTGACACAAGTGATAGAGTCCAGTCTAAACTTGCCATCTTGATATTCTATACGTAGATTGGTCGGTCCTGCTGATGTTTTTACTGATATAGTCAGTAGATACTCTGAATGCGAACTATCCCTAACCAAAAAGGTCCCTTCAGGGGCATCCTGTAACCTTTCTTTGGCTTCAGCAACAGTCATGTTGCCCCAGTACCATCCTGTTAAAAGATGAGAGAAAGAAGGGATTTGTTTATGCCTGTTTGTTTTAAAAGCTTCTCTCTAGCTGATATACTTCTAGTCACCCATTTCTTTTGTTGTTTGAAAGCTAAAGTCCTGCAGGCAAAGTAAATTTTTATTTGCTATTTAAATTCATTTGTTTTACAATGCATCCCGTTTTGACAGAGCCTTCCAGGTCACCTTTTATTTACCTATGTATGCATACACATGCACAAACTTTCCTGCAGCGTCCTGCGGGGCCGGCACCAGAGTGACCGACCCGGCGGGCAGCCCCTGAAGTAGCAGGGACGCGTCCCGCGGCTCCCCGCTGCTCTCTAGCCGGGCCAGTGCTGCGTCCGCAAGGCACAGGCTGGCAGCGCGCAGAACGCCCGCTTTGGGTAACTGAGGAGGTTGCTGTTGAAATGAGCTTTGTCTAGCGATCCAAAGCTAAGGGATAAGGAAACAACTTCGGCGAGGTAGCTGCGGTCCTGGCGCGGCTGCGATGAAGACACAAAGCCCTTCCCTCCTCCCGCAACTGAGCTCCGCGTCCTGCGGGGCCGGGCGAGCCGCCGCCACACCGGCGAGGGCAGCGCAGGTACGCGGGGCCGAGGGGATGAGGTGCCGCGGCCGCCCCGGCCGGGCTGGCTGCAGCGCCCGGCTCGTCCGGCCGCAGATCCCGGGCTGCCGCCGGGGCGCGGCGCTGCCGGCGCTTTCGCTTCGGCCGCCGCAGTCCGCGGAAGGTCGGAGTCGTCGCCGTCCCTCTCCGCCGGGAAACGCGACCTCGCAGCACCGGGCGGCGATGGCCAGGCGTCGCACCGCCTCCCAGTTCCCCTCTCGGCCCGATGGGGATCCCCGCCGCGCCGCTCTGCCTCCCCCCGGACAGCGCCGCCGCCCCGGGCGCTTTCCCCTTCCCGGCCGCCCGGGCTTACCTGCCCGCCGCAGTTCCTCCATAGCCGCGGCCAGCTGCTCCGCCTCACGGCACTCCTCGGCAACGGGCGCCGCCGCCCCGGGGTGGCCCCAGCGCTCCCCGGAGCTCTCCGCGCTCTCCAGGGACTCGGCGGAGCGCAGGGTCATGGGCGGCGGCGGCGGGCGCGGCCCCGCTCGCACGCGGGTCGGGGGCTGCCGGCAGGAGAGGGCTCCGCTTCGCCACCGCGGGGTTCAGCGCCGCGCTGGGTGCATGGTCCCGGTCCCCAGCCCGGGCGCTGCCTGCGAGCGGAGAGAGAGCGAGCGTGGTGAGCGGCGAGCCCGGTGAGCGGCGAGCCCCGCGAGAGGCGCTCCCGACGTAGAGCGTGTTTCTGGCGATCCCGCTTCGGAACTTCCCAGCATCCAGAGGAGGGATCCGAGGCGAGAGATCACCTCCCGGCGGAGCGGGGGAGGGACATCTCCTCCCCCCCGCCGCCCAGCCTGTCCTCGGCTCCTCTCCGCCGGGGGACTCGGCGGAGGCGGCGTCCCGAGACGGTGGTCTCGCTTTATCACAAAGGCGAACCCGCTGATGCCCCGCTCCCTCGGCTGGGGCAGCGAGCCCGGCAGGCAGCTCTGGGACTTTTGGGGAGGGAGGAGGTCGTGGGGGAGAGCCGACCACGTAAAGGTATGAGAAAGGAGGGGTAACCAGCAGAGCGGGGAGAGGTCCCCAGCCCCGGCGCTGCCCGGGTTTCACGCTGCGGTGCGTACGGACGCCTTCCAGTAACGTCATCCGCGGAGTCGTACTTGGGGTAACGGGAACAGAAACCCGGCGTGGGTCATGCTCCTGGGCTGGGAGACCTCCACTCGGGCAGCGGAGTACCCGAGAAGCTGCGGAGCGGGTGCGCCGGCAGCGCCGGCTCCGGGGGCTCGCCGGCCGCTTGGGAACGGAAGGGGCAGCGCGGTGGAGGACGCGCTATAATTAGCACGGGTCAGGAAATATGCTTTTCCCGCTCAATTAAATGCTGATATTAGGGGGGTAAAAATTCTTTCCTCTTTGCTGAAGCTAACGAGAGGGACAAAAAGAGCCCCTTCTCCCCTGGGTGCACCGCCACATCAAGAGCGACACAAAGCCGAGAAGTACCAGACACGGGGAGCCTAGCCGGCTTGTCTGGAGTGGAGGGACGGGACTCAGGAGGAAGACCGGGAGCCCCCCGCCGGTGCTTGCGAACCCGGCAGTCTCTGCCTGCGGGTGCGCAGCAGCCGCCAGGTGAGGGGTTTGTGCTGAGGTGGTTCCTCCCCTAACAAGTTCCGCAGCGGAGCTCAGAAACTTTTCCAAAAGAAACTGTAGTGGCAACTGCTAGGGTATTCTGACGGGTTTCTATCCCAACATATGTAGGCACACGCGCGGGAACCCCTCGACAAAGCCCACCCCTTTCCTTCCCCCGCGCAGAAGCTCCCGCCGCCGGCTCGGTGACCGGGCGCAGGTGCGCCTGTCAAGAGAGAGGCTGCGGGCGCGGGGCCGACGAGCGCAGGTGGGAGCAGCCTTGCCAGCGGTGTCCGGGCGCGACCCCTTGTGAAAGGGAAGCTCCGGGAGCGCCTAGCCGCGAAGCGCCGCCGCCACGGGAGTTCGGTGGGGACGGAAGGCTGGCGAGGCGGTGGCGGCTGGCTGCAGCCAGGCGTCCCCCGGCCGAGGAGAGGAGAGCCGGAGCAGCCTGCCGCCGGCTGCGGGGAGCCTCCATCCCGGCGGCGGGCAGCGCCGTACCGGGATCGGGGCGGCGGGCGGCCGGCTCTCGAAGCGACGCAGGGCAGGGGCGGGAGGGGGGCGACGACAAGGGGACTCACCCGGGCTCGGCGGGACGGAGCTGGGCCCGCCGCTGCCGCCGCCTGGAGGTGGGGCGGTCAGGTTGTTCTGGCGCTCAGGGGTCCGGGGGACGCAGCAGCCGCCGCCGGGGAGAAGTGTCGAGGCTGTGCCGGGGCGGACAGAGGCTGCCGGAGGAAGATGGTGCGCCTGGGGAAACAACAGCCTCCTCTCCCCCGCCTCTCCCCGGCGCGGGCGGTCTGCTCGCCTTTGATTGCGAGGCGAGGGCATCCTGCCCCCGCCGCTCCCCCCTCCCGGGATGGTTACATACAAAGGCTGCTTTCCAGGAACTTTCCAGGAACCGCATCATGTGACAGGACCCGCTCCGGCGCCTCCGCCGCGATCGCGGCCAGCCGGGGCCGACGCACCGAGCCGCCGCCCCTGTCACGCCGGGGCAGCGGTCGCCGAACGCTGCCCCGCGGCCCCCCCGCCTCCTTCTCCTCCGCCCGCGGAGCCGCGGGCGACGCGCAGGTCAGTGCCCGGGGCTGCGGAGGGACCGGGCCGGCGGGGCCGTGCGGGCCGCCCCGCGAGGCACGGCGGGACCCCTGAGGGAACGGGGCGAGCGCGGGAGCGCGGCCGCCCGTGCCGGGCTGGAGGGGCGAGGGGCGCCCGGCTCGCCCGGCGCCAGCGGCCGCGGGCACCTGAGCGCGGCGGCGGGGCCCGCCCGCAGGGCCGGGAGCGCGTCAGGGGCCGGTGCCAGGAGCTCTCTGCCAGGGACTTGCGGCGGCCGAAGCTCCTGGGACACCCCACCCTGGTCTCCACCCCCCTTCACCCTCCGGCTCTAAATACCTCGTTGCTACAAACAGCCATTGCCCGCCGATGCGCGCGCCGATTTCCTCCCCCTCCCCCCCACCTTTTTTTTAAAATTATTATTATTTTTTTTAATAACCATGAAGCTGTTTTTCAGCATAAAGATGGTTGATTGCGCCGTGGGTGCTGCTCAGTAACCAGCCACCTCTCGCCGCTGCCCAGGCGGCCCTGAGCCGACTTTAGAAAGAGACATACACACAGTGAAAAAAGAAAAAAAAAAAGAAAAAAAAAAAAAAAAAGAGGAAAGAAAAGAGGGGAAACAAAGCAAAAGTGGCCGTAATAGTCTCACCCCAGCCCTTGGCTGCAGGTCAGGGCTCCCTACAAATTGCACGGGGATATCTGGGAGGGAGAATTGACGCAAGAAGGAATAAGTCTTTTTAAAGATTTCAGGAAAGAATCCCAAACCTTTAAAATAATAAAAGACAGTATCTTTTAAAATCGGGGCGAGAGGGGGGAGGGAGCCTTTGTTATCAGAGGGGTAAATGAATATGTATTAGGCTGGACTGTGGCTGAGGGGAGAGCCGACCACGTAAAGGTATGAGAAAGGAGGGGTAACCAGCTCCCCTGCACAGAGAAAACTCCCAGACTGAGACGCTGCCTTGGGTCGCACTCTCCAGCAACGTCTGAAATGCAACGTTTCTTAAAAAGAAAAAAAAAAAAAAATAATAAGACGACTGAGGAAGGATTACAAGTCCTGACGGATTTTGTAACAGCTATTGCTTACAATTCTTAAGCATCAGAGGATAAGAGAATTAAGAGTTATCTTAAAAATTAAGTTCTGTTTAGTGATTAAATAAATTCATGGAGAAAAAAAAATCTATTTTGTTAAGTGAAATATTGGCCAATATGATTTCATCTGTTTGTAATACCAGGGTGCTTTTGAATTTAACTTATTCGGTTTATGAAAAAAAGGTGGTTTTAATCACTGGCAGCAGCACAGATTTAAAATGAGGTTTGAGGAACAAACACGGGCTTTCTTAAGCATTCTCAGAAATGGTTTAAAACAATTTAGGTCTTGAAGGTCATTCTTGTTCCTGTTTTTGTCTGTGAAGTTCAGATAGCCTCAGATCTAGCCTCCAGTAACGGTTGTGGAATTCCCACTAATTTTTTTTTCGTTGGATTGATGTGAACAGGGGAGAGAATGGGTTTGTACCCCTAGAAATTGAGTTGACAGTTCAGCTAGCTATGACATGAGATCTTGCAAAAAACCTCCATTACTACTGCAGAATGGCACTGACTTCACTATGTTCAGAAGAGCAATTAAAAATTAATACAGATCTATTTTTATTACTAAAATAATTCTATATATGTAGGCACACAGCTTTTGATCAAAAAGTATGTATGTTCTGATATCATAGTGTTCAAATTAGGGCTATTTCTTTGAAGTTCACTAATCTTGAAGAAAAGGAATACGTCTTGTCTAGCTGAAAAGCTGCTTTTTTACAGCTTTGCTGTAGTTCTCTTTTCCTATGTTATTTTATTAATGAGATTTTTATGTGGATAGTATCTCAAGACTTCCTTTGCTTCTGCTGTTTATTCGTCACTTGAAGTCATAATAATTTGTTTCTAAAACCACAGCTGGCTGCTATAAAGGCAGAGGGGAGGAAGACCACGATTTATGTGAATGAGAAACAAAAATAGAAGAATGTAATAAATGTTTGTTACTTAAAACTTCAGCTATTGTTGTGAAAAAGGTAGTATAAGTATTAAATAGGCAGTATATCAGTAGGATATTTCCTAAACAGAGTTCTGTGGATTTTTTTTTTCAGGATAACCTAATGTCTCTTAAAAATAGCACTAAATATCTGATAAACTTACAAGAATAATGAAATTCAAACTTAAAAACTGCAAATCTATCTTTAAAAGACAATACTGGCACCTCATAGGAGTTCTCTGGTTTACAGTTACCTTTATTCTCTGGCTTGAGACATCTGAAAGTGCTATAGGCTCCGTGTATTTTACTGTTTCTTCCAACAATATTAGTTGCTCTTTTTCTCCTCTGTCTGTATGAGGCTTCCACACAGTCACAGGAGAGAAAAGAAATAGTTGTAAGGGTAAGAAAAGGTGACTAAATGAAATTACTTTTGGGACTATGGGCCATATGTAGTGCATGAAACTACTTAAAGCTACTTTTTAGGTTTTTGGCACTGGGATATTTAATACAGGTTTGGTCTGCCTGAAGAATTTTACTTTATAAAAATGAGAATGGAGTAGGAGAAAGATATGAAATCGAGAAAGAGAAAAGAAGGAGCAGTTTTCCAAAATAGGTTTTTTTAATCTGCCATGTAACAAACAGTAATGCTTCTAAACAGTCACTAATACAAAAACTATATACAAGTGAGGATTTAAAAATGTTATGTACAATTCAAACCAAATCTTTTATTTATTTTTAATCTGTGTGTTTTGAGGTAGCAGTTATAGAAGAAATATTGCTGTACATATATAAATATGAAAGCTTCTGAGCCAGTTTTAGAGGCATATCATCCAACTGGAGATGAAAGGCACCAGTTGGTGCCTATTTTTGAGGCATCTATTGATAGATGAAAGACACATATTTTTCACCTATATAGGTGCTTAATTTTGAGGCACCTAAATAGATGAAAGGCACCTATTTTTTTTCCAGATTCTGCTATTCATGAATGTTGGTTCTGACTGTATATCATACATATAGTATATATTTTTAATCAAGTAGTGAAAATATGAACATTAAGGGTTCTTGAAAATCACAAACAGAATATATTGTTTCTGATGCATTCAAATGCATATGCTCAGGACAGGGAAGGATGAGTGAATTTATTTTTTATTTTTCCTTTAGGCAAAAAATCCCTTTCATGAACAAGGAAGGAGGCAACAATGTTTTTACAGTCCTGAGAAGTGCCTGTTACTAGAAATGATTTTCACTTTGTTCCTGAAAAGTATGCCAAGTTTACTGGTGAGCTGGTACGCTGATTTATTTATATAATATGCAAGTGGGAGGGGGGGGGGTAATGTGTTTTTGACTCAGCTGATTTTGCTAAATTTGCTCTGATTCACTGAAAAGATTTAATTATTTATTAAGACAGATTTACCTACCTACCTGGAAGAATACAAGGGCCTTTCCTTGCTCTCTTCATCCTTAACTTCCCAAAGATGCAGCACAGAATATCTATTATCCATGGCATACCATTTGGCCAGTTGAAATACCTCTCAGTTAAAAGGACAGCTATTGCTTATCACATAGGTTTACTTACTGAACGTATTTTGACAACTGTTTACCTTAACTAGTCTAAATAACAGTGTACAGCTGCCATGGTTTCTCTGTCCTGGGATTGCAGTCTGGTTCTTGAGCAGAGAAATATGAATATTGAGCCTTTAGCTCCAGCAAATTGGAATGAGTTAATTGTAACTCCACAGCACAAAAAAAGGTCTGCAATGTGAACTCTTTGAGGATTTCTCACTTATCAGTTAGGAGAAAGATTTGCTTATTTCACAAAGAGTTCTTAAAATATTATAAATAAAACATAGAGAAAACAAATATTTCAGTGTATGGGATCACCCTGCTCTTTCCAGCTGCTTGAGGAACAGAATGTTTTGATGAAATAGGTTAAGATTTATACCAAACAGTTTTACTCTTTACTAGCTGCCACCTTATTTCCTGCCATTTTTATCTATTCACATGTGAATGCTTTGCTTTTCTTAATATACGTTTAGTAAAGAAGAATAATAAAATAATTCAGTGAATAATTTCTATAAATCAGGGGTGCTCTAAAAGGAAACCAGCACCTGGGATTTAAAAACATCAAAAGATGGCACCAAGAGAGTAATCCTTTGAAATAACATCCAGATTCTTTTCTCTCAGAGACAGTTGATAAAAAGAAGGATCATTCCCTTTGGTTTAGTAGATAGGCAGACAGATAATCACTGTCAAGCATGAAACTGACCATAAAAAGATGGCATTTAAGTCCATTTCTCATCTCATCCTGTGCTATCTACTATCTAAAAGTAAAGGCCTAACCTGCATTGAGTAAGAGGTTACCTAGCCACTTGGGATCTTCAATGAAAATAATTAAATGTAGTGCTTGCTTAGTTTCTACAATTTACTATTTACAATTTAAGGTAAAACTGAAATAACATAAAAATACTTTGATAGGCATGTAAAGGAAAAGTAGGACGTGGTGACACAGGGTACTAAGTATAAAAAAACAATGATAATTTACACAGCAGTTTTTACTTTATGCTATGTTAGGCTTCTTTATAAACAGCAGAATTCTGGTCTGTCACTGTGTTATTTTGTGAATTACCGAGTTTCACTCTGACTAAAATTAGCCAAATATTGTTGAAAGCAATAATAATAACTTGTAAATATACATGCTTTGGTAGCATTTTCTTTCTATTCATGCTTCTTTCTTATGAAAAAGGTAGAAAAAAAGACTGCTGGAAAGGACCATTTTTGATACAGTCTTCAAACAACTACTAGGAGAATATTTGATATGGATTTTAATATTCAGATTATAGCATAAAATGCTGTGACTGTAATATGTTTTTTGGCTGAGAAAGAGCTTATAGGTATATATATGCACTACACCTAAACACACACATGTTCAGAACCACGCTCCTTGAAGTTTTGGATTTTTAGAGAAACATACATACTTGGGTTTGGTTTTTTTTTTTTAATCCTAGAGATAGCACAGCTGAAAGCACTGTGAAATCTTGCATTCTTTTCCTAGATGCTGCCAGAAAAAACAAGCCTTTTATGCTTGAGGAGGCTTGAGATGTTTTTCTGCCAGTTGCGAGTCCTGTGCCTCAAAGTAAGAGAGCAAGTAATGTCTGTGAAAAAAGTTTTCCTGACAGGCAGCATGAAGGCAGCTCTCCTATGCTTTGCCAATCCATAAGTAATAAAGTTCCTTTGTTGGCAGAAATTCAATTTTGAAACTTAATAAGTAAAACTAAAACAGGTGATGCAGTGCCTATCTCTAAAGGGGTGATTTTTGAGTGAAAAGTAAAGTGAAGTAGAAACTGGGTTATGTGTCTCTGAATAAACGGCCTCCCATCAGAAAAAGATTAATTTTAAATCACTGTTCTAGTTCTTACATTAAGGATAGTTTAATTCACCCAGAGCTATTTGGCCTTGAGGATGAATTCCTACAATTAAGTGTTTATGATTGAAAGTGCTGCCATGGAGAGCAGACAGATGAATATCATTTTAGGAGTACTGTGAATCATTAAATGAGTTGTAGAACCTTTTTTTGGTCATAAGCCACTTTTAAATTTCAGGCTAAGGCTATAATAGACTTCAGCATAAGGCCTGATGTGTTGCTGTACCTAGGAGTTTGAATAACAGGATAATCAACATTTACTAATGTATTTATATAACCTTAAACTTCTTACAGTTAATTGAAAATATGTTGCCTGTTGTATGTGAATATGCTGCTGGGTTCAAATACATTTTTCAGATTAGTGCATTGAGTGTTAGTGTCAGGTAATGAACTTAACCTGCCTCTGACGTGTTGGCTTCTTTTGGCTCAAGATAGGCATGGCTGCTTTCCCTGCTTCAGTATAGAGGCTGGATGTGGAATGTCATACAAACCTGGACAGATGACAAGAAAACAGTGCTAGCTGCCAACTACCGTCTCTCTGTTTGTCAGGATTAGTGCTTGCTTTTTGTCAGGATGACTCAACACATCGTCCTGTATCTGACTGGCATATTAGGACGTAACCTGAAATACTGGCCAGACAAGCTGGCAGTTTTAAGGATCAGGAGGGGAAACAGACATAGGGCCACTCTTTCTGGTTAAGGAAAGAGCATTGGTCCGCATATCACCTTTCCTTGGCACAGCCTGTCCATTTCCAGAATCGCTTGCTCCTCCTGTAGGCAGTCTTTCCAGGTGTGTGGAAATTAAAGCTCAAACAGTAGTGGACAAAATTGGACAGGCTGCTTGAAGCATTATCTCTCCCTGTACTGTACCCAAAACCATCCTGTGGCTCTGACAGAGCTCTGCCTGCAGCAGGGAAGAGAAATTAACTCGTGCATCTCCTCCTTAAGAACTTCAGCTTTCAGACTGGTGTTCTAAGAACAACCCCAGTTTCAGTGGGGCTTCAAGACTGCCATCAATCAGGAGCAGCCTCGTGAGCTGTTTGGTCATGAGGTGGCAATTCTGTCCTGAGGTGGGGTGAATGGCTTGGGGGGAGAGTAATAACTCCTTCAGCCATCTGATTTTAAACTCTTACCATATGTGACTTGAAGTCCTTAGATGCCCTCTACTGCCATATACCAGAATTAACAGATGGCTCTGTGTAACCAAATTCAGATTTGCTTAAGTTTGTTATTCTCTCTGTCCTTATAAATGAACAGAGAAAGGGAAATAATATCCATAATTATTAGAAAACATGCAAAGCATTTTATAATGTGTGAGTTTGGGCTAGACGTATTTTCTGACTTTCAGTGCCATTGCCCTACATTTCAAAATTTAACACTAATTGTAGTAGTCTCTTCAGAGCTCATTTCTCTGATAATTTATCCCTCTGTGAATAAATGTGATCTGGAAAGATGCCTGGGGCACAGCAGAATTTTTCCCCAGCATTTCATGCCACATGATGCTAGACAGAAGGAAGCTGCAAAACCTGCTGCTGTAGCTCAGCCTTTGTTCTGGTGAGGAAGGAAAGGATGCATTTAGCCATCAGACATATCTTTTGCGTAAAACAGAGCAGCAGGTGAGAGTGTACCTAAAATGGAACAAGAATGAAACATCTCTCCTGTCTTTGCCAGGTTTTGTGTGCTGGCAGGCACAAAGCAATCCTAAAGTCAAACAAAACTAATATTGGAGGAAATCACTCCCCAGGCTCTTAAGAACCAAGTGGTTCTGTAGTGCTTGAGCTGTAGCTGTGTTTGGTATGTCAACTCCTTTTCCTTCTATAAGGAAAAGCCAGCAAAACAATCCCACCTTTAATTTCCTGTCCCAGGTTCCTATCGCTGATTTGAATGCGTGGGTTTGGGCCAAATTAGCAGCCACATTTTGTGTACATTTTTAAACATGCCTTACTTTTCCTAAGGAGAGAAATTATTTCTTTCTACTCTAGGTGTTTACTGGTGATGTTACAAATAGAAGCAGGACTGGCAGGAGGGAGCATGAGCTTTACAGTGGAGCATGTGACAGCAGGGACCTGCTCCAGGTAAATGGAGGACATGCAGCAGGGCCTCTGCCAGGCCAGTAAAAAGCTTGAGTTCATGAAGGGTGCAAATTTCACTGTGCTTTCTTTTCCTTCCAGCATCAGTCCTCTACTTTCAGGCACACTGGTCTAGAATGTGCTGCTTACATTTCTCAGGAGCTTTTACAATTTTTTCAGAACATAATCTCTAACATAAGTCCATAGCAAAATCTTAATTGTCAATGGGGGCTTTGTTCTGGGAGGCTATTTTTGAAAATGCCAGGTTATCAGCTAGCCATTGCATAAAAGGCTGAAACAGGAATTTGTTCATATGCCTTTGCTTCAGCATATTTATTCCTTCAACTTCTCCCCCTACTTTCTCCAAGAAACACATAGAGCTCTTCAAGTCCTTCTGGCAGGTGGGCTATATAATGTTATGGTGGCAAACCTGGAAAGCTTTACCAGTTCATACCACCCAATAATGTGGTTCATTGCATGTATTTTTATTAGATCCAAATTTCCCAGTTTCTTTAAGGGCATTTCAATTTTTCAGTGGCTTTTTTTCTTTCCCTACCCATCAGGGAGTGAAATCATGAGTCCAAAGAATGTAAATAACAGCTGTTTCTACTCAATTTGCATTCATATGCTTAGTACTTAAAAATAGCTTATTTCTAGAGGCTTTCACAATCTATTCAAAATTTCTTCTTAGTCAGAGGTACTTGTGAGATGTTATTGAAATCCCTTTGGACTGGCTGATCAAAACAGCATTTGAAATTCTTCAAATGACTGATCAGTTCTGTAGCTTCTGAGCTACACTTCAGCAATTGACTGAAGTGTATCTTTTAATCTCCTTGGACATTTTAAGATCAGTTCCTTGGGCTGCTCTACCTGCTCTAAGGGGGCAAAATATGCCAGATGAGGAGATGAATGGTTAAAAAAAAATCTATGCTAAACTGGTCGTGTATTTCTAGCAAAATTAATTTATTATACAAGTGCAGCTGAACAGGGAAAAAAAACCAAACAAAAGCAACACCTGGCAAGGTATTTAAAGGGGACAGCTTATTTGCCAGTGTTACAGATCTTTGAATAAACAAAACCCTTATGCCCTGGGAAGAACTGAAAAACAGCCCTTTGGTTTTGAGACTACTGTTTTCTTTTGTTGACGTTTCATGAACCCTAAATAGGATACACATTTGTATTCATTAATGCCTAAAGGAAGATTTTAAGAATTATGTCCAATTACTGAAGGGTTTTTTCCTCCAAAAAACTTTGGAAGCATTTCACCTCATTATTTTGACAAGTGTCTCAACTTGAACCATTTCTTCAGATTTCTTTGATCCTCTGAAGACTGAAAATTACAGAACAATAACATTTAGTGACCTTTGGTATGGTTCATTTATTCTAACATTGACTGTGTAAGAAGATGCTTGCTCCTAAATGCAGATTTTGTCTGATATTACAGAAATGCACTTTCTTTTCTGCGTATTTGTTTATTCAGAAGAAAAATCCTTTTATTTTTACAGGAGTCTCAACTGGGGCATCCCTGAATGGGAGATGCTGGACTGGTGACTGAAATTGTTTAGAAAAAACTATATGTGTGAGTATGTATAAGCCTGTACCAGACTCATTTAGACTTGGTACTCTGAGCAGACGAAGCTAATCTAAGATCAGGTAATCTCTAAAAATGCTGGGAGTTCATACTACCTGATTTCAGAGAGCAACTTTGTATTTCTTAATTAAAAAGAATGTCACTGATGTCAAGAAGGACTTATACTGGGAACTTAAGAGGAATATATATGGCTTATATTCATACTAGATCCCTTCAGAGCAGACTCGCATACTCACAGCCCACAGTGCTCCTTGGACTCCTTCTGGTACCCCTCTAGAGCCAACATGCAATTCTGATTTTTATGTGTTATCTTCCAGTTTGAAGTTTGTGAAATGGTGTGAACCTGACCGCAGCCTGTGAGAAGGGTGCTTTCCCAGCATCAGCCAGGTACGCGTTGCCCGTTCTGGGATGCGGTAAGCTGAGGGCGCAGCCAGCTTGGCTGGTTTAGAGCATGTCCTGTGAAGCCAAGCAAGATGTGACCTTGGGAGTGCTGCTTGGTGCTGTCCCTGCAGCAGTGGGAAGCCATTGCTTTCAGGAGGGCTTGTGGAGGTGTGGGAGCAGCAGCAGGGGCCGGAGCTTTGCTCCCAGACTGCCACAGTAACAACGTGCCCAGAGGGATCCTGAACATCTCTGCTGCCGACGCCACCTCGGTGTGGTGAAGCCCAGGGTCCTGGTTTCACCTGCCAGAGTTACACAGGTATTTTCACTGTAGAATAAATGCAGCACTGGTAAAGAAACACAAGGCTTTTCCTGCATGATTTCCACAAAGTCGTAAGTTACAATCTTGGTCGTATTGAAACAAAACACTCACCCAGTTCTAACAATTCAAGCTTTTGTCTCTGGACTGGACAGGGCCTGGCTAGGCACTGTGAAGGTACTAACCTCTGCTGCTCTTCTCGTCACAGCTCATGGTGTCACCTTTCAGCCTTACCAGTGGCCTCTCTGGGTTCACTTCAGATCTTTCTCAAACAAATATGGCCATATAAAGCCAGTGAATTGTAAACCCATGCAGCCAAAACTACAGCATGTTTCTTTCAGCATTTTAATACAAATATATGCTCTAGAAAGGCAATTTCTCTGCCATTTTTCTGACCTCCACTTATGATGAATTTTCCATTAATTTTATTTGCTCTGCGCTTCTACTCTGTATAGGAAATCCTTTTTTCTTAATCTAGTTCTAAATTTTGTGGAACTTGCTACCACTCTGTTACTCCATCACTAAGACCAGGGTTTTACCTGTAGGAAAAATGGCATGGGGGAAAGGGAATTCTGTAAACATCTATTATTGAAAAATTACAAATGAACCTATACTGAAACTATCAGTTTTAAAAATTACAAAATAAATTTTAAAAAGTATATGAAGCCTTATGTTACTTATAACAACCGAACAAATGTTAACTAATTAAGGGTCAAGGAGATCTTATTCCTAGCATTTGTTTATTATTCAAGTTTGTGCAATAATTCAAGTTTGTTAGTGCAATAACTTTTCACTGTTCTTTTAATTTTTCTCTGTAACTTTCATGGTCAAAATTTTATTAGTTTTAGCAGAAGAGATGCTAAAAAACAGTTCTTTCAGAATTTTTTTTTATCATCTCACATTTTGCTGGTAGGGGGATCCTTTTGCTGAGTAATTAAACTTTGGTAGCAGTCAAAACTGGTACTATTTAAAAGGTAAATTGCCTCTGACCTGACACTGTTTTTCATTTTGACAATTAGTAAAGCTGAATATAAGCACAACTTTTTTCTGTATTTATGTTTGATAAAGTTGGCAAAGCTTCTTAGTTCTATTGGCTGTGCCAACATCTTGTGTTGTCTCTACACAACGAGAAACTTTGTGATGCATACACCTACATCATGACCTTTAATAAAGTGGCATGCAGGATCATAAACTTCTACTCCTCCAGAAGCCATAAGATGCAAAATTGCTGACCAAACATGCTATTAGTTCATGCAGCTTCCACATACCTCCCACTGTCTGATCTGCAGTGTTCCAACAGCTGTAGTTATACACAGTAGAACTAACATTTTGTATCAATTGTATTTAAAGTTCCAGATAATTCCATGCCCAGTAAATCATAATTTATTATGTTTGTTTTTGTAGAAGTACCTAAAGGTAACAGTTGAACTATTAGCCTCATTTTATAAGAGGTGCCAGAAAGATATATAAATTTCTTACGTATCTTATTTCTCCAAACAGCTTCTTATTTTTAGCATTGCAGGATTGATTAAATACAAATTGAGATTAAAATCTTATACACAGCATACATTTACAAATTAAATGTGTATGAATTACTGTATATAGAAAAGTAAGAGCTCCTATATACACACTACATACTATTGAAGGCTAACAGAAACACCAAAAATGGTTTTATCTGAATTTTAACAGTATTTTGCATAATTGCGTTCCTAAATTTTAAAAAATAGTAATAAAAAAAGAGAAAGGCCCCTACATATATTAGAAAATCTCATCTTCATCTTTCCTTCACAGAAAAGGAAAACGCATCTCCAGAGAACAATTTTGTGAACAATAAAATGTTAAAATAAGATCAACTGCCTTGTGCTGACTGACCATAAGGGAGGCCTGTGAAGATTAATTCAGGTTTAAATGCCTAATTAGTATATGTCTCAATCTTGGAGATAATCCCAAATTTTATTTATCATATGTACACAATTTGTTCCTTTATACTGGTGACTAGTGGGTTTGCTCTAGATCAATTTTGTTATATTGTAGCATTAAAATAAAATACACATCATCTATTAGGGATGAGGAATGCAGCCTACATCTATTTTATGTCTCCATTTTATAACTTTGTATTGGCTTTGAGGATGGAATGAGCATGTGAGAAGTTACAGCAGAGAAGCTGCTAAAATTCACAGACTGGAGAAACTGCGAAATGCAGTGCTGGCTTTAACAAGCAGTTGGTACTGTGACTTATAATGACCTGCCACAATGATTTATTGTGGTACAGCAGAATTTGGACATGACAGATGAAGTTCAGCCCTATTATAACAGCAGCAAGAGAGAAGTTTCCTATAGAACTTAAAAGCTGGAGGGATGGGGAGGGAGGGAAAGACGGGTGGGCAGATGGGCAGGCAGGTAACTGCTGCCTTGAAGGCAACCATGGGGAAGTGAAGAGTCATGACACTGGCCACATGGGTCACATTACTGCCCCACTGTCGGCTGTTTATTTCCCCAGACTGGGATGGTGGAGCTTTTTTTTGGTCTCTCAGACACCCTACAAATGTTAAAGCAAACAGGCAAAAAACCTTTGACGCTTTAAACGCAGGCCCTTCGGGAGGTCCTTTTGCCGCAGTACTCCGGGTGCCGCTGAGGGAGCAGCCCACGGGCGCCTCCCGGGGCTAAAGCTGCGCGCAGGGCCCGGCCCGGCCCGGCCCGCTCCGGCCCTGGGCGCTGCTGCCTCCCGGCGGTGCCGCACGGCCTGCACAGCAGCCGCACACCGAGGGGAAAACCGGCGTACGAGCGTCCGTTTTGTTTTCATCGGGGATAATTACAGGAGAGGAAAGAATTCTTTTCACTAAGGCACCAAGATTATTTGAACTGCGATTTACATGGTCCGAATTCCTGTTCGGGAGCACTGGAACAGGCTGCCAAAGGTTGTGGTTTTCTCCTCTGTAGACATTCCAAATGTACCTGGCTGTGTTCTGTCACCTGCTGTAGGTGACCTTGCTGTAACACTAGTGTTGGACAACATGGATCTCCAGAGGCCCCTTTCAAACCTAACAATTCTGCGATTCTGTGAATTAAGGGCAGTATTTTTGATATGTGACTGAAACAGAGTTTTCTAATGCCATGCAGGCCAAGCAAGGCCTGAGGAGACTTCTAGTGAGACATTTAAAAACCAAAAATCCCTCACTTAAGACGTACCCGACTGTCTACAATCCACAGCAACAAGCCTCAGATGCTCTGGAGCTCTATAGCCACTAGATACAAAACAAATGGCTAACTGCCCAAACTTGGATACAAAGTGCCAGAACAGACTTAACATTGCGAATTTTACGCAACTTTAAAGTTTTCAATTACAAAGAACAAGGGCACCAGAAAACAAAATTCCCAAACTAACTTTCAATTTTTTTTATTTTTTTTTTTGCATAGAAGTGGAACATTAATCAAGTGGATGAGTACTGAATTCCAAGTTTTCAAGTGAAGAGAAGCAAAGACAGTTGTTTGAGACCTAGAAAACCAAAAAAGAGAGCTTCAGATTACTGTCAGAGTAGTATTTTAATTGTGCCATGCCTCGAGTAACCCAGGAAAAAGATTTAGTAAAAGAAAACACAGTAAGACTGAAAGCAGCATCCCAATGCAGGGAAAGAGTTTAAAACATCAATGTTACGAATTAGTAAGAAAAGGGCACAGGGTACATGTAGTGAACATTTGTTTTAGACAGTTTCCAGCCACTGGTCAGAAGAGGAAGTACTTTAAAGATAGCAGCCAAGCACATAATAGATCTTTAGCTCTCAAAATGCCTGAAAAGCATCCAAAAATGTTTGGGAAACATTGTGAAAGCCACTATTTCTACAGTGATTGTGGATGTTTGACAGGCAAGAACAGCCAAATAGCATAACAGAAGGTTATGACTATAAAAATTTCTCTGTAAAGCAAAATTTCTTAGCAGCATTAGGCAGCAGTAAGCAAAAATATGGGAAAAAGAATGGGGGAAAATAATTTTAAGTTAGTCCAAGGATATCTCTTCTTACACTGAAGTCAACTGGTGATAAATTAGGTCTCAGCCTTCCAAAAATAAAAGGGACTCAATTTTATGCATTGGAACGTAAAACACCGCATGAGATGTAAGCCCACTTAGACACCAGAGTCCTCACCAGGCACCACAAACTGATGAAAATACCAAAAATTGTTGTACTACGAATTGCTACAGTCTATTTAAAAAGTTATATTCCAGGCAGAAAAAGCCACTATTATGTTAATGCAATTGAACTTACAGAGTTAAGCAGCCATCCTTCACAGAGACCCCACAGACAACAGCAGACTTATTATGTGAGCAACACACCATTAATAAGGAGCCAAAATCACTTGGCTCATGTTGGCTTGAGCATGGACTCTGATATCTTATAAGCAAAACAGAGTCAAGGAGCAAAACTATTTCATGCTCTGCCATGATAAACCATTATCGGCTAGCAAGACTCCAGCATTTGGAGTTAAAAATGCACTGGCACTAGTTTTCTGTAAAAATTTTTCACAAGTATTTAAAGTCAGCCTTTTTACACACATTCAACATTGCTTTTTTCATAAATAAAGGATGTTCAAGGGAATAAAGGTTATTCAGTAGTATCTTTAGAAACTAACAGTTTCTCAACATGTCAACTAAGAAGATGAGTGGTACATCACTTCCAATAAAATCTGCAGAAAACACGCTGGCAAAATGACACTAGTCTAACAGAAGAAACAAACCCCTTCCTAGATTATCCAAATTGCTTTGGAAGGGAAATACAATAAAAATATATGATGGACATGAGATAATTATTTTCTGATTATTTAGAAAGCTCTACTAAGAAGGCTTTATGAAGTCACTGGCATCTCTGCAGAAGCATAATGTTCCAAGGTAGGCCTTTCTATTAGAGGGCTGATGCCTAAAACTGTAGACTGAACAAAGGTTTTTTCTCCTTTTCCTGAAGGAAAAAAATGCTACATGACATAGAATATTACAAGAGGAAGAACATTTAAGCACTACAAAATGCTAAAGCAATGAAGTAGAATCAGACCACACTCTTACTGTGATACAGCTCTTCCAATTTAGGTATGAACACAGCATCCTCACTGAATGGTAGTTGGAGTGGGATTAAACAAACAACCCCCCCCGCCCATGAACCACAAATGCACACAGAAGTTCTCAGATATCTCAGAATGCTGGATGATTTAGAAGAGTAAGTTACTGTGTCTTGGATGCTAAAAATTAACCAAGTTGGCCAGTTTTCCATACACAACAGGCTTAAAAATACAATCACTTGGTTGATGTAGAATTAAATACAGAACCAGGTATCTCACAAATGTAACAGAAGAAGAAAAACTATTTGTTTTCACAAATACCTTATATAATATTTTTCATAAATACTATTTCATTAATACTTCAATATTCAAGCTCACCTTACTAGATTCCTAAAAGAAAAAAAAAAATACTATCACACTCAAAACCACCAAACCCTAACATGTCCATTTCTAGACTTCCCACTTTGACACAAGACTTGTGTGGATTCACTTGATCAGTGATAAGCCTGTGACCTCTTGAAATTAATCACAGCACTCCATCTCTATTACATCCTGATCTAGGACTAGTCCATTTGCTGACCAGGAATGCACAACTGCCTTCACTGACTCCATGTTTTGTCAGTGCTGTTTTGTTACTTCTAGTAGAAAATAACAGTCAAATCAACTTAAGCATGTTCTGTTACACCCAAACATGTCACCTTCTGTAACTTTTATTTCCAATCAAAATTACAGCAAAGTCCGGGTGAACAAGAAGTTATATTTGTTATCGGTCTTTAGGAGGATTAGGATTCTTGCGTCTTCTATGATACCTAAAAGAAAAAAGAAACATTGCAGTGAGTGCAAGCTGTGGACAGCCTTTATTTTTGCGGTATTTCTACCCCCAGTGAGTGATCTGAGGTTACACAAGGAAGTGATACACAAGCACAATCAATCACCACTCATTAGATGTCATCTCTGTTGTTTGTGGAGTTACATAATGCTACTCATTTCTATTGCTATATCTGCTACAAGCACGCAATAATCCAATCAATTCTACAGCTGAATAGGCACAAAGGCTGCTGTTTATTCTTAATCCTTTGTGTGAAGTTAATTTTATGACATGGTCAGCCTTGCCTTTGGCTAAAATGATTGCTATAGAACAAAGATGTTCAAAGGAGCTGTGCCAGACTTTATGTTAAATAGTGTGATATTTGCAGCAAAACTAAAAACCAAATTCTTCTTAACAAATAATGATCCATACTTTCCTCATAATTATGCATGCTAAACAAGGCAGATCCTGTCTGATCTTCATCAAAGTGACATCTGCCCTTTAGTCATAAAAGTTCTATCTTTCCATTTCTTAAATCTACTCCCAAAGCACATTAATTAAAAAGTTTTCTGTGGACAACAACAACAACAACAACTTTCCTCTATTATGTCTCCATAGCTATAAAATTAGCAGATCTTGAAAGATGGCATAACATGGAATGGAAGGGTGTAACACAAACCAGAATGCTGCTTGTTTACATTAGTACACTTGAATGTCCAGAGTTCCTCTTTAAGCTCAGTCATGTATATGTGCACCTCTCCTCCTCCATTTCTGAATTTAAGGCACACCAAAGAGCATTTTTCACCATTCCAAATGAAAAACTTCTACTACTCTTAAGTCTGAGAATCATCCCATTGAGGTTGCTAAGCAATAGGCAATGCATGTTTCCAAGCTGTATTTGGTTATGTCCAAATACAGGGTATTTTACATACTAGATTCTGCTATGGAACTTAGTAAATGACTCAAAGCAGTAGCTAACTGGATGTATGAGAAATTTCTACACTGTCACATATTTTTACAGAAAAAATGTGGTAAAAGTCTATCAAAGGAGCAGCGTTAAAAAAACCCTCTCATTAAATATAGTCTTCCATTCACCCAACACTGTATGGAAAATTTTATGTAGCAGCCCAAATGCTAGAGGTAACTTGTCTGACATGACTTATCCTAGGTTGAAGCTGGTCATTAAATTATTCCTATATTTCCCTTTACTTCCAAAAGGA